TATGTTTGCAAGTATAGGAGGATTAGGAGGAACTTAACGGAGGACTGTGGGGGAGAAGAAGGGGGAAATAGTGGGGGACGAGGAGAGAGGCAAACCATGAGAGACTCGAATACTGAGAACAAACTGAGGACTGATGGGTGTGGGGGGGAGGGGGGAGATGGGCATGGAGGAGGGCACTTGTGGGCGTGAGCACTGGGTGTTACTTGGAAACCAACTTGACAATAAACTATTTGTAAAAAATAATAATAAAATAAAATAAAATAAAATCCTCAGAACTTCTACCAGCTAGAAATTATTACTATCTCCACCATATAGATGAAGAAACTGCCTCCCAGAGAAGTTACAGAATTCATTCAGAGCTACACGATGAGTAAATGGGCAGAGTCAGGATTTCAACCCAGACCAGTTTGTATTTTAAGCACTGGCCCTTTTTGCCTTTTAAGATTGATCATAGTAGCTAAGATTTATCATGCACTCCCTATGTGCTGGACTTTCTTCTTAACTCTTGATATAAATGAACTTACTGAATCCTACAACTCCTCTGGGGTACACTCTCAGGGCTCACAAAAACCAGTAAGGCTGGCCCTAAGACCAGGACTCTCCTGTGTGGAGTTCACATCCTGTCCGAGTCAGCAATCCCAATGACTCCTATATCCAGAAATTACACAACAAATTTCTGCCGGTTGAATGAAGGAGCAGACCCAGTGTTTTTCTCTTTGCTCAGGGTTCAAACTTCAAGAGCATACAGTGCCTGGAAATGGCTGGAGAAATTATAATGGAATATAAATCTGTTGTAGAAAATACACACCACCAAGAACTGATTAATACAGACACTAACTAGGGGTGCCTGGGCGGTTCAGACGGTTGAGCGTCCTACTTTGGCTCAGGTCATGATCTCACGGTTTGTTGAGTTTGAGCCCCGCAGTGGGCTCTGTGCTGACAGCTCAGAGCCTGGAGCCTGCTTCGGATTCTGTGTCTCCATCTCTCTCCCTCTCAAAAATAAATAAACTTTAAAAATTTTTAAATATAATGGCTAACTTAACATGCACATTCACTGTATTTCAAATGTGAGATAGGGAAATTCCTTTATGTATCAGAGATTATATTATGTATTAAATGCACTAACCAACCCTTCCAACAGCAAAATGAGGCAAAGTGCTGCTTCCAAGACAGGTTGGCAGAATTTAACGCCTTTTTTAAGTTTACTTATTTTGAGAGAGAGTGAGCAGGGGAGAGGCAGAGACAGAGGTAGAGAGAGAGAATCCCAAGCAGCCTCTGTGCTGTCAGAGCAGTGCTCAACACAGGGCTCAAGCTCATGAAACTTGAGATCATGACCTGAGCTGAAATCAAGAGTCAGATGCTTAAACAACTGAGTCACCCAAGCACCCCAAGATTGACAGACTTTTTAAATTCTCAAACACTAAGTGATACAGAGTAATATATAGAACAGTGGTATTCTCCTACATTGCTGGTAGGATTGTAAATTCATACAATCCCTTTGGAGAGCAATTTGGCAAAACCGAAGTTGAAGACAGCATCCCACAATTTTATTCCTATGTATACTGCCTAAAGACACATGAATCTGATATACACATACAAATGCTTTTATTGTCATAAAATGGTGCTGTTATGGAAAAACAGTAGGATAGTTCCTCAAAAAATTAAAAATAGAACTACCATATGATCAGGCAATTCCACTTCTGGGTATACGCCCAAAAGATTTGAAAGCAAAGAGGGGCGCCTGGGTGGCTTAGTCGGTTAAGCGTCCGACTTTCGCTTAGGTCATGATCTCGCGGTTCGTGGGTTCGAGCCCCGCGTCGGGCTCTGTGCTGACTGCCAGCTCAGAGCCTGGAGCCTGTTTCAGTCTGTGACT